AACTTGTCCAGGGTCACACAGCTATTCATGGTAAAGCCAAGACTAGAATCAGACATTTTGACTCCAGAATCCCCTTCTTAACCACTTTGTCATCTCCATTTACTTAGATCAAAGAAGTGCAGACCAGCACCTTTGTGAAAAAGGAGATATTTTTATTTATTTAGTCTAGAAAATTTTGTTTTTAAGTTGTTCTTATGGCCAGTTTTACTCCATTAAAAGTAAGGGATTTTGGGTCTCAAAAGATTTTGTGTCCTTCTTATAAAAAAGATACAAAAAGGAAGGAATGGTAAAAAATTCAGACAATGAATCCCTCTCCCCTCCAATACACACATATCCCCATATGCCTTCTCCTCATTTCCATTCACTTGTTCACAGTCTAGCATACACAGACAGCATCACCTCAACATCACCCATTGAAGACCAGCTTTGGCATCTGTGTATCCATGGACAGTTTACTTAACCTCTCTGAATTTTATTTTCCTTGCAAGTTTGTTCAGATCCCATGAAACTATATGCAGTAGCAGGCACATAGCAAATGTTGGGTAAGTGACAGATATGATGATTGCTATTGTGATTTTGTTGTTTTAGTTACATATCCTTACCACAGAGGGTATGAGAGAGCTGAGTTTTTCCAGTACGAAATTCTGTGAAATATAGAAAAAAGAATACAGCATGCATAGTTAATTTTAAGATACTTTATAAAAATAATACATGGCCTCAAAATATCTCTGGTTTTATTTTCCTACTGTCAAATCTCACTTTAAAAGTACCTCTTGTGTCATAAATAGATTCCATATGTATGAATACCAGTTGTTAAAAAAAAATGTAAGGCTTTTTTTCCCCCACAAAATTGTCCTTTGGGTAAAAATGAATTCAAACTAAGCTCCCCTTAGGGATAGTTATACAAATTAAAGTTAAAGACCTCACCTTAGGAAAAAGCATCCTGGATTCTTCTACTAAACAAAGGTCCTTAGGGAGAAGCTGAATTAGTCTTAGATTGGTTACCAGCAAAAGAAAATTCTCTCTGGAGCAAAGCTTCCCTATTCACCAATTTAGACCTATTGAACTTCCACAGATTCTAATTAAGCAATAAGCTACAAGTATCAGTCAACACACAAGAAGATAGTTCATTGACTGAGAGTCAATAGAAATAATAAAAAACAGATACAGTTCCCCAAAACTGCAAACACTGAGATTGTCTGATTTAGTGCATAATATAATTATGTGTGAACTGATTTTTAAAATATAGGATAAAAATTTTAAAATGATATTTTTACATAAAAGGATTATAGCATAATTAGGAATTAACTAACTGTTCTGGAAAAATAAAAAGACAAGTAGAATGCCTATAAATGAAAGAAATTTTGAATTAAACAGACACAGCTGAAAAGAGAATTAATGCTACAATTTGATGGATTTGACCTATATTTATGGATGTAGTAGCTCAAAATACCAGCTAAGGGGGAAGGGGTCTTCACATCAAGGATCAAAATCTGTACACAAGGTTGATAGGGATGGACAATTTAGACACTGGCTACCTAAAAATGGGTGTGTGTGTGGGATTATAAAGGCACAAAGTGGCTGGCTTACAAGTTTTCAAGAGAGAGTTTAGTTCTAGAGTGTGGTGGGCAGGGGAAGAATCTCCACTGAATAGTTTTCATCTTGTCTAGATGGGTCTGATGAAAGGAGATGGGAATAGGATTCTTTTAATTCAATAGTGAGTAATTGTTATCATGACTAATTGAGATTGTCACAACTGTAACAGTAGAAGTTGTGTAACAAAAAGGGGGGAGTAGTTAATTTTACAGTCCAGGAACAGAAGACCCTAGGACCATCAAGAGAGAAGACCATTAGCAGAACGTGGGAGCCTAACCAGAGAAGCAGTGACACCAGAGATGGAGGCAGAAGTGAAGACATGGAGAGATAGAGCAGCTGAGTACTCTACTCATGAAAAGAGAAAGGTTGTGTGCTGGTGGCCAGGAGGCTGGCTTGCAGAATGTGCCCTTTCATTGTTTAAATGATTATATATTCTTGAGTGTTTTTGTTTACATGCCCCCACTCCCCAAAAAAACAGAGGGGACAGAAGCAAAAATATTGTTGAATGATGATGCATGGAGAAGACCGAAATTACTGCAATGAAATGATGAGTGTAAAACTGATGTTCGCCCATGTAAACTATCACTCAATTCATAATAAAAACTTTTTGAAAAATAAGAAATAAACAAGACAGAAAAATAAAAAACTCATTATTGGTAATGGATTCATCACTACAGGCCTTAGAGTAAACGGCAGACTATGGAATGGAAATATCTTCAATTGCCAACCAAGAAAACGTTCAAAGTCAACCATCAGCTGGGGATTGATGCTTATAGTTTTCTGGGATTCTCAAGGGTCAGTATTGGAACACTATTAGGAAAAAGGTTCAACAATCAACAGTGCTCATTATAGTGAGGTTGTCACTGAAGAGCTGAAATCTAAACTTTGGATTAATGCAGAACATTGTTATCTAAGGGCATTGCCGTCTTCACTGTTTGGTCCCCTGAAAGCAGCCCTTAAAGGACAAAGATTCACCTCTGATGAAGAAATGAAGACAGTGCATTCCTGGTTCGCAGCTCAAATTCCCTTATTAAAAAAATCAAAAACATTTTTAAATAAGAGAATATGAAAGCTTGTTGACAGATGGACAAAGTGTATTGAAAAGCAAGGAGATTATGTAGAAAAAAGTGATGCATATGTCCTTTCTAAAAGTTGATTAAAATAAATTCTACAGTAAAAAAAAACAAACAACAAAACCCACCAATTATACCCATCTGTTAATGATTATATATATTTAATTGCAGTCCAGACTGATCCTGTATTATGATAATTAAGATTTCATCTTAAATTCCAAAATAGGTACAATTTACTATTGATTGCTTAGTTAACTATATAGACTTCATATAATAAAATATTACCATTCTACCTACCTCCAAAAGCTTCTGTGATTGCCATACTTTCAATTCCACCTCCTAGCAACTTACTAGAAAGAGAAAGTGAGCATTAGTAACAGGCACAGAAACAGATATCAAGGAAGCAAAAAGCATTAGTACTTCTCCTGCTGTGGTGGTGCTGTAGGAGAAGCACTGGACCACTGTAAGTTCGGTGGTTCAAAATCATGAATCACTCCTTGGAAATCCTATGCAGGGTCACTATGAGTCAGAACCTACTCAATGGCACTTAACAATATGTGTGTATACATGTATCTTTCCATCTATAACATGAACAAGGAATTCTTGACTGAACAAATGACACTCTACCTGTTCAGACCACAGGTTCTACTGTATAAGAGCAGGTAAATCAATGAAATAATGTATAATCCCTGTTGTTATTACTTCCAGATACCAACAGAAAACAGGCTATGAAGGTCTTATGTCTATTTGTTAGAATTGCTGTTTGAATAAATGGTCTTAATTGTGTTTTTTTTTTTATGTTGGGACTATGGTTCCAGAGTCAATTAAATATTCATTTTAAAAATATACTGAGAAAAATTTAAAAGCAGATCTTAGAAAAATCCAATGATTGCCACCATATTTGACATCTCATATAAATAAAATTCTAGATGAACAGGTCAGAATATGAAAATATTCAAAGTAACTGTAAGATTTTTAACATCATACATTTAATTGGTAACCCTGTGCTTTAGTGTATTTAATGTTTTCATTTCATTTTATTTTGGGGGGTGGGTTGGAGTAAGGAATTAAGGTTAGGATTATGGTTAGACCTAGGACTTCATTTAGTGTTAGCGTAATGGTTAGGACTAGGGTTAATATTAGGGTAAGGGCCGGGCCAGGGCTAGGAGTAAGGTCTAGTTTTAGGGTTTCAGTTAGTTTTTTTTCTTGAAGTCTACTTGATTATCTCTTCATTTAGAAGTTTTGTAGCTACATTATTTCCCCTTCCCCCACTGTCTTCTTTCCTACTTTTCCCACTGTCTTGCCTACTTCTTTCTGCTGAGAAATCAGAGCTTAGTCTTATTAGTTTTTCTTTGTAAGTAAGTTTTCATTTTTCCCCTAGCTGATTTCAGGATTTTTTCCTAGTTTTTGGTTTTGAATAGTTTGATTACAATATGTCTTGATGATTTTCTTTGGGGGTCTATCCTATTTGGAGTTTGCTTAACTTCGTGAATGGCTGGCTATCTTCTCATTTTTCATGATGTTTTCTTCTAGCAACTCTTGTACAATTTTCTCTATGCTTTTGTCTTTTCCTGCTCTGAAACTCCAATCACATGTAAATTATTCCTTTTACTAGTGTCCCACATACATCTTAGGCTTTCTTTAGATTTGTCTTTTCTTTTTTCTGATTGTTCCTCTCAAAGATGGGTATTGAGAGATTTGTCTTCAGACTCACTAATTCAGCCTTCCATCGATTCAGTTCTACTCTTTTGCCCTTTCAATGTATTATACATTTCTGAGGTCTTAGTATTAATCTAAAGGAGCTCTGGTAGCATAGTGGTTACGAATTGGGCTGCGAACCACAAGGTCAGCAGTTCGAAACTACTAGCTGTATCGCGGGAGAAAGATGAGGATTTCTGTTCCCGTAAAGATTTACAGCCTCGGAAACCCTGTACAGGGCGCTATGAGTCGGAACCAACTCCACGGCACATAACAACAACAACAACAGTATTAATCTGGTAGCTTTCTAATTGCTGTTTTTGTATGATTTTCAATTTTTCATTTTTTTAGTCAGTTTGTTATTTTCCTGAATTCTTCCTTGCTTTTGTTGATGCCTCTTTCAATTCATTGAAGGTACCTAAACAGCATTCTTTAAAATTCCTTACCAAGTAATTCTGATTCTGTTTCTTGTACTATATTATCTGACTCCATATTTTGGTCACTTGGTTGAGTCACTCTGTCTTGTTGCTTCATGTAAGCTGAAATTGTTTTCTTCGTGATATTGGGATGTTGTTGAATTTATTGTTAATTGATGATCATCCATTAGTGTGTTCTCAAGCTGTCTCCTGGTAGATGTGATAAGAGACTGCAAGTCTGTGTTCAAGGTGGGTTTATTTGCTTCCAGAAATACCCCAGACATAAGATTTGCAGAAGGGGGTGCCACTGCTGCAGCATAGGGAATGGTAGGACTGGCCACACCCCGGCTACCAGGAGGGCCAGAGAACAAGGGAGGACTGCACTCTCCCCCCTTGCCTCCCACCTGCAGTCAGGCTCTGTGCTGGCAGGCCACAGTATTGGCAGTTGCTAGTAAAGTCTCAAGATGGCTGCACTGCTCCACACCAGCTGTTATCCCACCTATTTTTCTTCTCTCTCCTGTATTTAATGTGTGTGTGTGTGTGTTTTTAATGTGCAAAGACCTAACTACAGCGAATATAAGTTGTGTTAACTGTGCAGAGATCTGGTTGTTTTTCTTCTTGTTGTTAAGTGCCGTGGAGTCAGTTCCAACTCACAATGACCCTGTATAGGATTTCCAAGGAGCGGCTGGTGAGCTTGAATTAGGAACACTTTAAACACCTTTGCAGTTTCCATTAGCATGGTTTTTGGGATAGGATCATAGAGCAGACAAAGCCTTTTAAGAGATATGGAAAATCCAATAGAGATCCATAAAATATATATAACTTAGAGCAATTTAAATACAATCAGTCGAAACAATATTGGAAGTTATCCACAAACTTAATGAGAGTTGTGAAAAAATCAAGATACTGACGTGAGTAACTTGAATCTGAAGATCATGGGTTGAGAGACCGTTTCACTTGGAGGGCATGCATTTACAGATTCTATGGCACTTGTAGGATCAGCACTAAACTGGTAACATCAAGGTCAACAGTTCAAACCTACCAGCTACTCTTGGAAACCCTATACAAGGTCACTATGGGTTGGAACCAACTCAATAGCACACAACAAAAACATAGACCTAGCTACAGAGTTACTAGGAGTTGGAATCCACTCAAAAGCAGTGGGGTTTGGTTTTTCTTGAAGGGGCTTCATTTGCCCCTTCTTTATCTCTAGAAAAATCGCCCTGAATAGCAATAGGTCTGGCTTTCCCAGATGAAATGTCTGGTTATTATACAACCTCAATCTGCTGTAAGTCACTTAAGGCCATCATATTGATTCCAGCTCATAGTGACCATATAGGACAATATAGAACTGCTACTTAGAGTTTGTGAGACTGTAAATGTTTACAGGTGCAAACAGCTTCATCTTTCTCCTATGGAGTAGCTAGCGGGTTTGCACCATCGCCCTTACGATTAGCAGCCAATGCTTAACCCATAGCACCAAAAAATTTACCTGGGAGGGTAACCCCAAATTATGTAAGATAACATAATTGCTTCCTTGGTAGAACTAAGGACAATTTAGATTAAGTACAGAAATAGTGTTTTTAAATCTAAGGAGATTTAAAAATAAATAGAGACACAAATCAAACCCACAGATTACTATTTTTGTATTAAATTTGGGAATAATTGCATGTATTTTGGTATTTTGAGAACTTTTAAGGTTTTAAAAAATTAAGCCTTTTATAAAACAGGGTAACCTTTGGTTGCTTAAATGATATAAACCTGCAATTTTTAAGTTGCTAACTAAATTTATAAACATTATTTTAACATTTAATAGTACCTAAACTTTACTATACTAATAAGTACAATTTACTAAATCTACTGGGCTCAAGCGCAACAATTGTAAGGATGGCCCAGGACCAGGCAGTGTTTCATTCTGTTGTACATAAGATTACTGTGGGTCAGAGATGACTCAACGGTACCTGACAACGACATTACATCTACAAAAGATATTTAGGTAATTGGGAAGATTCGGCTTGCTAATAAGACAATGTTCTTAAAAGGAAATTGGAAGTTCATAGAAAAATGGAATTAAAAGATAATGGAATTTTCCCACAAATTTTTGAAGCCCCCTTGTATATTAAAATTTACAAATATAGTGCAAAATGCCAAGGGAATTAAGTTAAACATATAATAAAAGCTCCCATAAAATTTGCCAGATTTATACAAAATTTAAGTAAAGCACACAGGTGGCACAAACACAGATACTTCTTAGATTTACCCAAACACCTTTCAGGATTGGTTTACAGGATGTGAAGGTTAGGATCATAATCTCCACTGGCATTATATATAGTACAAAAAGTTCATGTTCTATATCCTAGTTTGGTGAGAAGTGTATGGGTCTTAAAAGCTTGTGAGTGGCATCTAATATACAGCGATTGATCTCTATCCATAAAGAATAAAAGAGAAAGAAGGAAAACAAAGGTTCAGAAGGGAAATTAACCCAAAAGAACCACGACTTCATCTACATTGCTACCAGAAGATGGTGTCTGGTTATTAATACCAACCATTCTGATCAAGAAGAAAATATACATAGTCCCCAACTTACATATTTGAATTATGATGGATGAACCACACTTATAATCAAGGAGCTCTGGTAGCGTAGTGGTTATGAGTTGGGCTGCTAACCTCAAGGTCAGCAGTTCAAAACTGTCATCCGTTCTGCAGGAGAAAGATAAGGCTTTCTGCTCCCATAAAGATTTACAGCCTCAGAAACCCTATGCAGGGTCACTATGATTAGAACTGACTCCACAGCACACCACCACCACCATCAGTAATATGTATTATATGCAATATTGCAGCACAAGATTTGCTGATGTTATCATTCTCAGATGTTCAATTTTATAATTTACTATCCCAAAACACTGTTATATAGATTTTGTTTTCTAAACTAAATCAGGGGCTTCAGTTGCTTGAAAACATGGATCCAAATGCTGATCACTGTGCTAAAGTCAGAAGGCAGATTTGGGAAGCAGTAAAATGTTAACATGAAAAAGATGATGGAAAGTCAGAAGGGACTCTGCAGACAATGCCATCCAATGCCTGGAAATGCCATCCCCATTCTCAGAGATAACTCAGATGGTCCAGAACCCTCCACAGTGGAGTTACTACTGCAACTGATAAAATGCCAACATCGTCCAACTCTTTGGAGTAATTTTTTTGTGATTTGTGTTCTTTTATGTATGTATTAAAATATA